GTCGTATATCATATATTCATAAGTCCAAATAATTGGATGTAATTATTGGACGGAAGTCTAGGGATAACGTATTTTTTATTCACCTAAATTGGATTATAACACATTATAAAAATTTATAATGTGTTATATATCACTCCTATTTTTTACAAAAAATTATTTCAACATATTTTCACATCACAGAACTTAAATAATCACACATACTTATAGCACGAATGAAACTTAAATGAGTTAGGGTTTATAAAGTGTTTATACAAAATATGATTACTGGTGTGTAAAATGAATTAACCATGTAATTAAGTTAGTGTTTTCAGAATTGAACCTCGTTTATTTTTTTTATCATAAATTAGGGTTTCTAAACTAAATTCAACAATTAAAATAATAATAATTTAAAAATTCTAAAGCTCGGTAGAAAAAACATACCTTTTAGGCAAATGAAAGACCGGACACTGTGCGGAGGAGGAGGGGCTTGCCGAGGGGGGGGAGGGAAGGGGGCTTCGGGGGTGGGTGTGGTCGGCGAGGAGGGGAGAATGGGGAGGGGCTGCCGAGGGGGGGAGGAAAAGGGGGCTCGGGGGGTGGGTGGTGGTCGGCGAGGGGGAGGGGAGAAATGGAGGGGGCTGCCGAGGGGGGAGGGGGAGGGAAGGGGGTGGTCGGTAGAGGGTGGTCGGAAGGGGGGAGGAGGGAGGGAAGGAAGGAGGAGCACCAGGGGGGAGGAGGAAGGGGGGGGGCATGCCGAGGGGGAGGGGAGAAAGGGGGGAAAGGGGTGGTCGGAAAGAGGGGGGGCTGGTCGGAAAAGGGGGGGAGTGGAGGAGGGGGAGGGGGGAGGGGGGCGGGCTGCCAAGGGGGGGGGGCGGGAAGGGGGTGGTCCGGAATGGGGGAAGTGCGGGAGGTGCCGGAGGAGGGGGGAGGCCGTCGGGAGGTGCCGGAGGAGGGGGGGTCGGAGGGGGGGTCCGGGGGGGGCGAGAACGGGCGGGGGGCAGTCGGAGGAGGGGGTCGCAAAGGGGGCTACGAGAGGGGGGAAGTGGGGGGGGGAAGGGGGGAAAAAAAGTTGAATTGGGGGGGGGGGGGGGGGGGGGGGGGCGGGTCGGCTGAAGAGGGGTTTAATTTGCCCTAGCAACCTAGACCGGAATTTCCGTCTAGGTTGCCTCAACCTAGACGGAATTTCCGTCTAGGTTGACAGATCAACCTAGACGAAATTCCGTCTAGGTTGACCTAATCAACCTAGACGGAAATTTCCGTCTAGGTTGAGTAACCTAGACGGAATTTCCGTCTAGGTTGATCTGTCCGTCTAGATTAAACAAACTAGACGGAACATTCCGTCTAGTTTGTTTCAACCTAGACGGAACAAACTAGACGGAATTCATTGCGCGTCTAGTTTGAATCAAACTAGACGGAAAAATATTCCGTCTAGGTTGTTCCGTCTAGGTTGCTAGTTTTTCTACTAGTGCCTCTTGTTGCTGCTACTATTGTGGTGGTTCAAGGAAATTTTAGGCAAAGAGGAACACATAGAATGAAGATGACAAAAAGTATTCCTAGGATCAACTTACGAAGTTAGGATCAATTGGATAATCCAGGTAATGTATATACTCATTGCTATTGATATGAAGATTATATAGTCTTGTATGATTCATATCTTACTAATTTGCTCTCATTTGTATAAAGAATGCACCTATATCCCCTTCCAGTCAATTTTATGCACTTAATATAGATCCTAATTAAACTTTAACTACTTCTAATACTTGATTGCCTCCTCTTCTTGAACTAGGCCGCACCTTACCCTTCAAGTAATCAATCTTCTGCTAGAAATAAAACTCTGGAGCCCTCGGCTCGATGTTATACTTCTTGCAGAAGCCACCCACCTCCTTGCAAAGGAGAATTTTTTTAAAAAGACCCTTTTTAAAAAATAATTAGCAAAATCAATCATTTCTTGAAAATATTAGCAAAATCGACCACTTTTTGGCCAGCCGGCCAAAAAAAGCTCGATTTAGCAAAAATATCAACTTAAATTACACGGGACTAATAGTCCCATATAATTAGTTCTCGTGAGCAGTGTTGTAAATAGCGGCCAATATCGGGGCTATAACGGGGCGAATAGCGGTCGCGGCCCTTCAACGCTATGCGTAGGGGTTTCGCGGCTGGGTTTAGCGGAAAAAACCACTATGCACTCGAATAGCGCGTAAAAGCGCTTAAAAGCGGATAAAAGCGCTTAAAAGCGGATAAAAGCGGCTAAACCCGCTATCAAACGCATATGATTTTTTCGCCCCGAACCCGCCCCGAACCCGAACCCGACTTGTTAAACACGGATAAAAGCGGCCACGACGAATCCCTCTCTCCCACTCCCGCGGATAAAAGTGGCCACGACGAATCTCTCTCTCCCACTCCCGAGCCCTAATCCCTCTCTCCCACTCCCGAACCCTAATCCCTCTCTCCCACTCCTGTCATCTTCTCCGCTCCAAGCTTCGCAGCTCCGCTCGACCTCGCCGCGACTTCATCATCTCTGCAGCTCCGCTCTAGGCTCCAGCGAACAGCTCCGCTCCAGACTCCAGCGAATAGCTCCGCTCCAGGCTCCAGCGAACAGTTCCGCTCGAAGCTCCAGCCTCCCTCTGCCGATTGCAGAGCTTCAGTTACTGTCGCTCCAGCTCGAGCCAGGACAGCCGCTCCGACTTCCGACTTTCGACTTTTGACAAGCTTCCCTCCGGCGTCATCTCCATCTCTGTTGGCTAGATCTGCAACAGAGGAAAAGATATAAAATCTCCTCTAAACCTTCTCATAGTTTATCTGTCTTCCCTTTCAATGAAGTACAATCAGTGTTGTAAATAGCGGCCAATAGCGGGGCTATAGCGGCGCGAATAGCGGTCGCGGTCCTTTAGCGCTACGCGTAGGGGTTTCGCGGCTGGCTTAAGCGGGAAAATCCGCTATTCATTCGAATAGCACGTAAAAGCGGATTTTAGCGGGTTAAAAGCGGGTTTTCGCGGTTAAAAGCGGATTTTCACGGTTAAAAGCGGATTTTCACGGTTAAAAGCGGATTTTTGTTGTTAAAAGCGGCTAAACCCGCTATCACACATATTATGATGCTATATTTCTTGAATTTCTTCATAGTTTCATTCATACAACAAGCTTATTAATTGTTATTTATTGATAATACAAGAAATTTACAACTAATTGATTTTTTAGATTTTTTTATGAATTTTCATATTATTTAGGATATTTAAATATATTTAAATTTGACCGCTATTTGACTGTGCGCTATTTGCCGTGATTTCGCCGCAATAGCCCGATATAGCCTTAGCGGTACCCCGCCGCGACGCGCCGCGATCCGCTATCAGCAACCTTGAGTATAATTTCATCTTTTTTATCCTATTCACTATCTGATATTTTCATAAACTGATTTTTCCGTATTGTCAGTGGTTGATATCTTGTTGATCTTTAAACTTGCACTAATAAGCGTAACTAATAGGAGGCTTCTTTTATGGATATTTTTTGTTGGGATGTTCTAATTAGAAGATACTTACTCCATTCTTTTATGGATATTTTTTGTTGGGATGTTCTAATTAGAAGATACTTACTCCATCATAAGATGAATGCCACCATGTTATGGTTATAAAAAGTTTGTACTTCTAATTAGAAGATACTTACTCCATCATAAGATGAATGCCACCATGTTATGGTTATAAAAAGTTTGTACGTTTTATCCAATAGGTAGGCAGTTTATTATGTTTGCCTAAATGAACACTGGACATATTTTTGTATGGTTATTTGGAATTTGTGGTTGTGGGTTCTTTTGTTTCGCTATTGTTTACATGTCCATTAGAATTAGACATTTTGTGCTATACAGTTGTTAATACTTGATATAATGGATATTAGGAACATCATATCATTGCTAATGCTTTAGGATAAAATATCCTGGTCTCTTAATTCCATATGTAAACCCTCTCTATTATGAATTAATACTTATATAATGGATATTGATGAATCTTGGTATTTTGAAAGTGAAATTCTCTATGATATTTAACAATTCTTCCCACTGAAAGTTGGTGTTTCCATCTTTATTAGACACGACACGTTAGTACACTTGTCTTGGACCCTTGTTTGATATTTACAGATGTTTAACCTTTACTCACATGAAAATATACGTGAAATAATTTAGGTCACTGAAATTAATTGTTATATATTAGTTGTTACTTGTTAGAGGCACTTCTTTGTGGACTTCTTGAATTTCTTCATAGTTTCATTCATACAACAAGCTTATCAATTGTTATTTACTGATAATACAAGAAATTTACAACTAATTAATATGTATGCGATGAACGGCTTGATCTTCATAATTAGTAGCTGCAAAGGAGAGATCAGTGCCCTTGAGATTTCCAACTTCTAGAAAACCTGTATAATCAACATTTGAAATCAATCAAATCATTATAAATTTATAACTTATTGAGTTATTGAATGAATGAAGAAATATAGCATATTTATTTATTGTATGAATAAAGAATTGAAGAAATAATACAAGAAATCTCACACTGTAAAGTTCTACTGTATATATATTGATAAAGAGTTCTCGCCGTTTTCCTTTGAGATTATATATATTGATAAAGGTAAATATTGTAATTGTAAAGTTCTACTGTTCTAATACTTATATTGTTATTTGTTCTTGTTCATTGAATAGGTATAATTTCAGCCATTATATGGAATTGTCCTCTACAGCTTCAAATTCATTGATGAGTCCTTAAAATCGAGAGTCAGGTAGCTCCCAAGGCCGACCAAATCTAGCTGCCGAGGCTCAAGCTTCGGTTCAACACCCACATCCGCGCCCTTCAGATGATATTGGATGGGATTGGGCAATTTATCCAGAATGGCCAAAGAAGAATAAGATCAAGTGCACTCTGTGTGGACATGAAACCACTAGTGGCATTTCCCGCCAGAAAGAGCACTTAGCTGGTAGCCGGGGGAATACAAAACCATGCAAAAAAGTGACACCTGACATTATTGCGAGGGTAAAAGAAGCAATGGCTGAAACTAAGGGTAAGAAGTCAGACAATATAAGATTTGAGATTGAGCGTAGGCAGGAGGTCGATATTTCTAGTTTCAGAATTGAGACTGCGGAAGAAATCACTAAGATTGGAAACAAGAGGTCCCGTGAATTTGGAGCTATCCATCGATATGCTACATTCTTGCCAGAGGAGCCTACATCATCTTCGACTATGAAGCAAACAACAATTGATGTAGCTGAGCGCAAAAGAAGAAAGGAGTTGGTCCACGAATGGGTCTCTCTTTGGACCTATGAAGCAGGAATTCCATTTCATGCATTGATGCTCCCTTCTTTCAATAATATGTGTGAAGCTATTGGTAAGTTTGGTCCAGGTTATGTGGGACCGACGATGTATCAGTTGAGGGAGCCTTTGTTGAAGAAGGCAGTATCACGTACTTCAGTTGGTTTGGAGCCACATAAGAAGCTTTGGGAGACTAACGGCTGCACATTGATGACAGATTCGTGGATTGATCGAAAACACAGATGTGTTATGAACATGTGCATTTATTCTAGTGCCGGGGTTATCTTCTACAACTCGATAGAGGAGTCTGATGAATCTCATACCGGAGATTTTATTTATAAGTGGGTTGATCAGTGCATCCAGGAGATAGGGGCAGACTATGTTATACAAGTTATCACTGATAATCACTCAGTGAATATGGCTGCAAAGGAGAAGCTAAAAAGTGAGAGGCTGAGAATCTTTTGGACTTCTTGTGCGGCACACAACCAATCTCATGTTGCAGGATATTGAAAAATTAACAAAATTTAAGAATACAATTGAGAAGGCTCGGGCTTTGACTGTTTTTATCTATGGCCACACCAGGACTTTGGCACTAATGCGTAAGTGCACGAGGAGGAAGAACATTGTCAGGCCGAGCACCACTAGATTTGCTATCTCATTCCTCACACTAGGAAGTCTATTGGAGAAGAATGATGCACTGATGGCCTACGTTACCTGGACTCGGGTACGAGTATCCGATACGGGTGCGGATCCGAGTGTCTGGTATGTAATTTCTAAAAATTTTGGATACAGGGACACCGTCCTAAATTTCGATACGGGTACGGGGATACGACAATAAAAATATTAAACTTTAAAAAAATATTCTCCAAAACAATTGCATCAAGTGCATTAAAATTAGAAAGTTAACATTCAACAATCAAAGGTTCAATGGAAAACCAAATATCAAAGGTCCAATGGAAATCTAGTGCATAAAAAGTAAAAAAACACTTCCACAACATCAAATCGTCTCTAACATCAGCCGACAACTTAAGCTCATAAGTCAAAAGAAATGGCTTCGATCTCAGGCTCATTTAGGGAAAGCTCAGCAACTTCCAATATGCTATCACCATCCATAGTGTCTCCCCTAAACAAAAAAGGCAAACAATAACAATAGTTACAAGGTTTAAATTAATAATACACTAATTATAACTTATAAAAAAGCAAATAACAAAATCTTACCAATATCCCAATATCTGGATGGACCATCAGTGTACTCTTTTTGCTTCCGAGAAAGCAATCTTAAGTTGTTGTGAATGTAAACAAGATCTTCCAACCTTTTAGATGCCAGCCTATTTCTTTTCACAGTTTGAATGGATCCAAATGTGCTCCAGTTCCTCTCACAACAAGAAGAAGAAGCAGGCTATGAAAGAAGTTTAAAAGCTAGGCTCTGCAACAATGGAGTTGTGGAGTCATAGTTAGCCCACCATGACAAAGGGTCTTCATATGCCCTGGCTGTCGTGACGTGAGGCTCGCTGAAGTTTTCTAAACTGCCAGAAAATGTACCATATTCTAAAAAGACTCTTCGAGCATCATCTGAATTGGGGAAAAGTCTTTGTAGACACTTGTTTCTGTTTGTTGAGACCTCTTCATCTTCATTTGGAGCAACTCTTCGAATGCTGTTTCCCCCTCCTTGAAGCCATTCTTCAGTGTAGTACCTAGGAACTAATGAGTGTGCCATACAATGTAGTAGTGTGTTGCTCTTGTTCCATCTTGACTCGATGACATGCTGAATTGCATCAAAAAAACTTGACTGACCTGACACTAAGTCGACACCTTCATGCTCAAAAATAATTTTCTTGACTTCTTCTATCATAGTATCCCACATATCATACACTAAGTGCAACACCGAAGAGTCCATGTCAGCGGCCCTTAAAAAATTCATCATTGGCTCTGTAAACTTGAGTAGATAATCAACTTGATCCCACCATGCATCACTAACCAACAAATCTTTCACCTCTCTAGCTTTAAGTTCAATGGGATTCCTCCCATTCACCTTAAATTTCTTCCAATCGGGGTCCATCACAGTTTTTTCAAGAGCATCTTTCAACCTTTGTATCCTTGTGGCCATCACAATTTTTGAACCAAATCTAGTTTCAGCTACTTTTAAGAGTTTCACATCTGCATAACGCTCAAAAATAGTAGTTGATAAACCATGATTTAGGATGAAATAGTTGATTTCATTCACTTGATGCACCAACTGTGATATCCACTGACATTCAATATAGTGAGAAGCTCTCTCATTAGGTTCACATATGGATTTGAGAACCAAATTCAAACAATGAACAACACAAGGTGTCCAAAAAATGTTAGGAAATTTTCTTTCAATTATTGCTCCAGCAGCTTTATAATTAGATGCATTATCAGTTATGACCTGCACAACTTTACTTTCACCAATGTCTTCTATTACTTCAGTAAACACACCTGCCAAATATTCAGCATCTTTACTAAGCACCTCAGTAGCATCAATTGCTTTCTGGAACATCGGACCGGCAGCAGAAGCTATCATGATGTTCACCAAAGGCTTTGAGTGACGATCTTGCCAACCATCTGAACATATTGATGCACCTTTTTTGACCTAATTATCTCTGATCGGTTGTAGTAACTTGTCAACATGTGCTCTCATTTGGACTAGTAAAGTTGTTCGAAGTCTCTCAAAAGTAGGAGGAACATACCCATGAAGATTTCCATTGGCCAACCTTTGAGAATATTTTCTAAAGTATGGATTTCTTGCAAAATTAAAGGATAGCATACCTATATAGAACATCATGGTTAACCTTTGGCTTTGAGAATATTTTCTAAAGTATGAATTTCTTGCAAAATTAAAGGATAGCATACCTGTATAGAACATCATGGCACATTCTTTGTCAGCTTCTTCTCTTTCTAACACATTGAAGGACATCTCCAGTGACCCTTTTCTTTTCTTTGGTTGAACTAAATCAGAACCTTCAGGAAGAGAAATATAATCCTGCTTTTGTTTTACACTCAGAGACAAATTCCTTTTCTTATGTTCAGCTTCATCATTTTCTTTCTTAATCTCACGGTATATGTCCTCTGTTATTCCCTTGCAAGCTTGAACACCTTGGTTGGGAATTTTTAGCAAATGCCCTTTAACCTTGGAATAGGAAGAAGTTACTGTTTTATTACAATATTTGCATCTCCACACCCTATTACCACCTCCACCAGTGGGTGTGGATAGAACCTCAACATGACTCCACAATGGTGTATCATCAAATCCTTTGTTCTTAATTGGGCGTGACATTGAGCCTAGAATCAATTACAAAAAGAAAAATATATAAACATAGTTTCAGAAAGCATAATTCAAGGAATAAATTCTGAAAAATTAAAGTAAATTAACTTCCACAGAGCTTTACAAAAGAAAATTAGAGAGCATGATTCAAGATTAATGTCTGAAAAATTAAAGTATTTGTTAGATACCTGATCAGAATTGTAGATTTGGTAGCCTCCTCTCTGTAAAATTCGTTTTTTGATTTTCAGTTGTTTCTCTCTCAATTCTCTCAGAAGTTTTGCAATTTAAGATTTGCAGAACATTTTTTGTTTTGTATTTCAGGTGGGGGTCGTATATTATAGGAGAATTACAGATATTGGAAGAGTCGGATAGGGTAAGACGAAGCTGTGAATCGACTCTTTGGAGTCAGTTTTCACGAATCTCGATGGGAAAATGCAAGCGGCAAGAGGCAACTTGGTCAAAATGTTTTCATGGGTGTTGGAAAAAATCAAACGGTGGACGGCTAGGATTAACCATGGGCGGCGAAAAGATTGATCCGAATCAGCAGGAGGGGAATAGAATATGGTGAAGTGGATTTAGGCAAACTCTTTTATTTTTTTCTTTCATTGAGAAAGCAAAGTCATTAAATGATCATGGGCGGCGTGCTGCAAGCCTGCAGCTAGCTTTGATTTTTTTCATTCTACCCCCCCTTTTTCCCATTTTTTCACATAACTGTAGCATTGTCTATTTATCTCTTGTTTTTGTCAAAAAATAACATATATTATTTAGTAAGTGATATTTATGTTATCCTATCTTAAAAACACTTATAATATTTATCTTTTTTCTAACTCGTGGATAATACTTATTTTTTTACGGGTTAAGATGATTTAAACCATTGATGGTTGATAATCATTCTAATCACATGTAGATCATATTGTTCAAAATTATCGATCATCAATAGTTATTCTAGTTGCATATGATTGTTATCTAACTCAACATATTGATCATAATGTTTAAAGAATTAAAGTCATCAAAGTTAGTTAATATGAACAATACATGAAGTTTATTAATCAATTGTTCTACATAATACATGGATCATAAGTTTTTGTCCCTATTATTATAATCAAACTCAACATATAGATCTAATCTCTCAAATCACTAATAGTTATCCTAATTGCATTTACCACGCTGATTAAGAAGTTTATTATATGAACAATATATGAAGTTTATTGGTCAGTTGTTCTACTTAATGCATACGTTACAAGTTTTTGGTCGTATTATTATGATCTAATTTAACATATAGGCATATAGTTTATAATGTTTAAATCATGGATCATGGACCGTCATTCTAATCACATTTACTAAAACTACCACATTGATTATTTAGATGATATGTCACAATATATGGACTTTATTGATAAATTCTTATATTTATATGTAAATATTAGTCAATGCATTTAACATAAACTCGTTTCTATTACTAAGATGAACAATATATGAAGTTTATTGCTCAATTGTTTTACTTAACCCATAGATTATAAGTTTTTGTCTATATTATCGTAGTCAAATTTAACATATAGCCATAGGCATATAGCTCATAATGTTTAAATGATCCATGGACCGTCATTCTAATCACATTTACTAAAACTACCATATTGATTATTTAGATGATATGACTCACAATATATGGAGTTTATTGATAAATTCTTATACTTAAGTGTAAATATTAGTCAATGCATTAAACATAAACTCGTTTCTATTACTAAGATGAACAATATATGAAGTTTATTGCTCAATTGTTTTACTTAATGCATAGATTATAAGTTTTTGTCCGTATTATCGTACTCAAATTTAACATATAGACATATAGTTCATAATGTTTAAATCATGGATTATGTACCGTCATTCTAATCGCATTTACTAAAACTACCACATTGATTATTTAGATGTAGTTTATTGATAAATTATTATACTTATATGTAAATATTAGTCAATGCCATTTACATAAACTCGTTTCTATTACTAAGATGATATTTATTATTTGAATTTAAATGTTTTAAAAGTCTAGAAAACAAAAAGTAATTTTAAAAGGTAATAATGAACAAATAAAATACTCTGTGGTTAAAAACTTATAATTAACTCTTAGAAATATGTGACCTTTTTTGTGATTTTAGTAAAATTCTTATTATGTTAATAAAACTCACTCAATTTTTAACAAAAAGAAATAATTCATAGTACAAAATTTTCTAATTGTAACTTTTAATTTTGGGATGGGTTTCACAAGCGACAATATTAAATTACCGTTCGAACTATATGAAGAAGTGATGATACAACTAATTTTTTTAGGTGATGTATGATGTATATAAAAGGTTATTGAGTGATCAAGTAAAAATAAGAATATTAATATAAAAAATAATAGTTTAATTTATTTAATGAAGTAAAACTAATTAAATTATATTCCTCTATCACAGATTCACATATACACTTTTAATTGCTTCAAATATTTATTATAAAACCAAGAATTTCCAAAATTATACATTTGTAACAACTTAAGCCTAATTAAAAAAAAGTCAAATCAACAATTCAACTTGTGAAAGACTTTGTAACTTTTCAACTTCCATCTTTAACTCTTCAATCTTCATTACCTGCAAGCAAAACAAAAATAATATTTCTTGTTAGATTATGAAAGCATTTCCTATTTTGTTAATGAAGGCAAAACAAAAAGGCATTAATTAATTGTTGATTTGTTTCAGTTGTACTTGTGGTTGCCAAAAAATAAATTAATAAAATAAAACAAATAAAAATTGAGTTATTGAGCAGTACACTGTACACACCCCACACCCACGTGATTATCACGTTCACCCATTCACCCCCTCCGAGCCCTCCCCGTCCCACCTCATATCAGGGGAAAAAAAGGAAAAAGAAAAGGGGAAAGCAACCTTCGACTTCCTAACTGACTCTCTCTCACCTCTAACGTCGCCGGATTCAATCAGCGGTGAGGGCGAAATTAAGCCATTGCACTCGTCTCGACCTCGCGTGCAAAAGCCCCATCAGCACTACAAACAATTTCGAAGATTCACCTTCAATTTTCAGATCTAGGATTTACTATTCAAACCCTAGATCTCAAAATATGTTTAATGGTTGTTCGTCTGTGCAATTGATCTGCGAATTTGGTATGTAATTTTATCTTTTCTTTCTCTATTTTTTGTTTTTTCTCAAATATGTTCAAACCCTAGACCTCGCCGTATCCGAGCGCCAACCTCCGTATCCGACCCATATTTCGTACCCGGATCGGTGTCGGGTCGGATTGACACCGGTACGGCGGTCAAACCGCCGTGTCCGAGTAACGTAGCTGATGGCTATGTTTAACTCGGATGAGTTTACGAGTTTGAAATTTGTTGGGGCTGCAAAGAAGAAAGCTCTTACAGCAAATGCTACGGTGATATCGAGAACCTTCTGGAGAGGTGTGAGGAGTTGTTTGAAGGTCTTCATGCCTCTTTTCAAATTTCCACGCATGGTCGATTCAGATACTTGTCCCTCAATGGGATTTAGTATTGGAGAGCTTAAAATAGTGAAGAGGGAAATCATGACTGCTTTGAAGACCGAGAAGAGCTATATGCCTATCATATCCATTATAGAAAGACATGTTAAGAATAGGCTTGGTAGTTCTCTTCACCTAGTTGCATGGTTCCTAAATCCTCTTTTCTATTATGCGGAGGATGACGTGGCTAAGAAGAGTGCAGAAGCTAAGCAAACAGTTCTTGATTGTGCTGAGCTATTTTTTAGAAATGAAGATACTATTGATGAGGCTGTTGTTGATGCTATCTACTCTACTGAGATGTTGAAGTATAGGGACTGTGATGCTTTCATCCATTGAAAGCCAAGAGCACAGAGAGTAGTGAAGAGAATTGCTGAGGACCATAATCCAGGTATTGACTTATATACATAAATTTGATATATATTTTTTATTTTATTTGCTAGTTTTGAGATTGAATCAAAATATAAAATCAATCAATTGATTAATTTGTTTTACTCTCTTGAATCAGCTCATTGGTGGGACACATTTGGTGGAGACATGCCTTACATGCAAATGATGCCTCTTCGGATATTGAGATTGATAGGTAGCTCCTCTGGATGTGAAAGAAATTAGAGTTGTTTTGAAGGGGTAATCACTCACTACCTTGTTTTAATTTTCATATTCAATTGTTCATATTAAAAAAATGATAATTGATAATTCGAAAGAAATGATATTTTTATGTTTGAATGCAGATCCACACAAAGAAAAGAAATAGGCTCGATAGCAAGAGATTGAGCGACCTAGTCTATGTGCAATTCAATTTGAGGATCAGAACTAAGATGGATACAACAAGAAAGGATGGAAAGAAGAGGGACATCCTACTTGCTAAAGACGGCCGACACGCTTCTGCATGGGTAGTGGATGGATATAACTCCGAGGAGGAAGAGGATTATTATCCAGGGATCGATATTCCACTAGGAGTTATCTCCGAAGCAGCTGGAACAGATGAGTTCTTGCAGCCGAGGAGGACCACTCTCCGAAGCAGCTGGAACAGATGAGTTCTTGCAGCCGAGGAGGACCACAAGGAGGGCGAATATGGCTTTTAGTTCAAGAGCCAACGAAGAGGTAGATTCGGAGGACGAAGAGGAGGGAAGAAATGATGACTCGGACTCAGATGAGGAGGATATCCAACTTGATGATGATGATAGTGACGAGGATGCTTTGAGAGATGAGATTTTGCTACTTGGCACTGATGATGATGATGATGATGAGTGATGATGAGTCATTGCTCAAATTCAGACTTTAGTCACTTCACTTTTGAGACTTCTAGCTTTTATTTAGCTTTGATTTAGACTTTTGAGTGTTAAGTTTGGAGTTTGGACATTTCATGTGTTTGGAGTTTGATCTTTATTGCTTGCCTAGTATCTATAGACTGTTATTATCTATCATGATTCATGATATTATCTTGCTTTGCTCATTTAGTCATTTATCTATACTTGAATATTTTATTTTTTAGGTTAACTTTCTAGTAGTTAATATGATGATGATGATACTAATCAATGATTTTTTTTATTGAGCATTTTTATATTAGAGACTTGAAAGTTGAAGAGGGACAACTAACAGTCTTTTGGATAAACATGTACGTTTTTTCATTCTTTATAATTATAGTATGTTGTTAATATTATGTAATTATCACACATCTATTTCATGTTTAGGCATCAAGTATGCATTTATAGGATTTATAGATTTTTATATGATTTTTCTTATTATTTAGAATATTTAAATATATTTATATTTGGTCGCTATTTGACTATGCGCTATTTGCCGCTATTTTGCCGCAATAGCCCGCAATAACCTAAGCGGTACCTCGTCGCGACGCGACACGATCCGCTATCAACAACCTTGCTCGTGAGTTAAACCTTAACCATTTTTAGCACAAACTACACGGGACAACCATTTCAGATATAACTATAATTAGCAACCACTAATTACACGAGACTTCTAATCCCGCATATTGTAAAGTCGACATTTTGCAAAATCGACCGCTTTTTGGTCAGTTGAGATGACGTTATTTTAAAAGTTCTCCCCTGGCAAACTATCTGTAGTCTCTCAGATAATGTATCTCTTAAAGTTAGTCCCCTTAACCATTACACCAAAAACTCCGAAATTATTGGTGAGGATCGTGGATTGTAGTTTTATATTAATTCTAACAGATAACTAAGGTGAGCCCAAGGGGATTATGATGATCATAAGCCTGAGGACTATGATGATGCAATATGAATTAGTCTTGCTTCAAGGAATCAGGA